AGCACCTAACCTTCCTAGGTTGCAACAAGCACGACCAAACACACATAAATCGACTCCACGGAGATAATATGGATGTTTCAGTTTGAAGATAAAAAAGAAGAAAATGCCATATTTTCCCAAATAGTATTCCATAATCTAAAAAAAGTGGTTACACTATCGACGAAGTTGTTGAAATTATTTACAAAGTTTTCTTTTAACCTCATAAGCCGATTTAATATTTGTCTTCTTTTTATGGCACAACATTAATAGCTTTTTAATAATTTATTATTTTTAAAAAACAGGAATAGTCTTTATAAATAGTTTTCCTCAATCGCAAGTGAGGCTTATGTACGGAAGTGTAAATTAATGTGATCTCCCCTCTGTGTGCGCCACTGAATAAGAGATAATTGTTGTGTGAAAAATCAGATTAAAAACATGTTTTACATTTATAAAGAGGACTTACTCCAGTTTGCGAAAAAATCACAAGTCAGCAAAACAAACAGGAATGATGAAATCTTGTTTGAAAACATTAGGCTCATATCTGTATAGTATTCAGATATGCAACATGTTTCCTACCTCCTTGTTCAAAAATAATTCAAAATTTCTGCACATATTGTGTATGTAGTCTTGATAAAGAATATTGGTCAAAAGAGCCAACTAAGTTCCTCTCACCCTCGTTACCTACTGAGCTTGTCATTCAACTAGAGCGTTGTGCGAAATTTTTCGTGGGAAAGAATTCTACAAATTGGAGCATACTATATTGAAACGGACAGTCACAGTTATAGTTATTTTTCCAGCTGGCAGGTCAGGTTATATCTCAAAGATAAAACGTCACTTATTTTGCAAGGAGAGAGATCTTCAGTGACTCGGTTACGTGGGTAATGCCTGCGCACTAAGAAGAATGGCAATGATGTTTTACGTCTACAATGCCATGTTTTCTCAGTCAGGGACAGGATGAGGAATGGTCTTGGTTACATACAGATTTCAGATATACTAGAGAGCTCTCCAGTAAACGCGGCAAAAATACAAACTTGCTATAACTTTGAGCGTTTTTTCTGTGTTTTCACTTGTGTCCAGTTTCTTTCTTTTGTTCACACTTAGTCGATGTCAATAAATTCAGATTTTCTCTCCATGATGCATTTTCTGGAGATCATGCAGTTATTCTTCAGAACCTACCTGAGTATTCTAAGGTAAATCAGAGCACCTGAAAGAAAATACTATATCTATTACATTTTAGTAATTTGCACCAACCCAGTTGTGTATTTGATTGTATAAACTCGGAAACTAAGGAAATTCACAAGATAGTTGTAATATTCTATTTTATTTGAGTAACTAGTTATTCATTACAAATATACTTATTCCATCATCGTCACATCAGTGTAACAGTGGCTAAAATTAATTAAACTGTAATACATTTACTTGTAAGAGCGTATGATTTTAATAACAGAAAAAAATCTTATTAATATAATACTAAGTATTTGTGTATAACTGTATATCAGTGTTGCCAATATATATTTAAATTCATCTATGCCTTGGTATGCACTGCTTTATAAATTATTTATCTTTTTTGTTTGTGGTTAAGAGCAAAGCTGTACAATGGGTTACCTGCGCTCTGCCTACCAGACATATTGGAACAAGTTGTGATAGTTTCGTTTTATATTTGTATATTATGCCAACAGATCAGTCAATAATCTGGTGTACTGTTATGTGTATCTAAACTAACAATGAAAAATATGAGTATATGGTACTTAAAATATCACAATTTATTTCTAAATTTTGATATTTAATAGTAGCAGAAGTACAAAATTAATTATAAAAACAAACAAACACATAATGTTGTTTGAATTGTTTGAAATTGAGCACAAAGCTCCACAATGGACTGTCTGTGCCCATCACAGGTAACGAAACCAAGTTTCTAGCGTTGTAAGTCCGCAGATATACCGTTTTGCCACTGGAGGATGTTGTTTGAAAGTCTGAAAATGTTAAGTATTTTACAGCACCTATTATTACTTACTATTCAAGTTAACACATTCTGATGTTTAGGTCAGAGGATTGTGAACTAAAAATAAAATGTTGAAGTTCAACAAATAGCTTTGAGAACTATTTATTTTCACTGATGCTTAAAAAAGAATAGTCTTGCTTAGCTACTGCCCAATGCTCCCTAGTGGCTCAGCTGTAAGTTTGAAGGCTAAAAACCGGGTGTCGATAATCGTGTTGGGCACAGCACAGATAACCTATTGTATTTACCTTTGCGCTTAACAAAAAACAAACAAAATATTGCCGAACACTGACACCTGTTTGCTGTTGGTTCTTTATTACGAATCTTCTTGGTAACTCTGTACAGTCAAATTCACAGCAATGTTTTGGTACGTTTACAAAGTTGTAACATATACTTACACTTCGTATGGGAAACCCAAAGATCCGGTTGGAACGAAAGCAGGAGACCACGTGACTAATGCCGCGCCCACGAATGTAACACGCCCCATCAACAATCTGCAGATGGAAAGTACATTATTTCCAGCTTTGATTGTTTACTTTTTTAGAGTCCTTAGTTGTAGGCTTGAAAATATAATCTTTCCATTTTTATTCAACTTGTTTCTGTACTGTTTTGAAGTTCCATATTCCCCATTTTTAAATTATTTTTTTTACTAATCTTGTATTTTTAACTGATGAGAGTATTGCCATGCATATCCTCTGCATTAGAAATTAACCCTATTGGACTGACACATCGCCAACCATAAAAGTTACATTTTACCGAAGCATGACACTGACACTGATTAAACTAATTTGAAACAAACAAACCCATTAAAGGTAATGAAATTAAATTTCAGTTACCAGAATAGAAAAGAGAAATTATCACAACATAAAAACGACATATTAAAATTTGAATTTATCTTTCATAAATACAACATAAAATGCAAATAATTCCATACTACTGTTACGACAGCGGAAGTCACATGACGCTGGTAACACGTCATGAAATTCTAGAAGGATCATGAAGGCCCGAGCGTTTTCTAGGCGCCCTCTATTTTAATATATAAGCCCGGCAAGTAAAGCGGAGAGAAGAAGTGACGGCATAGATAATTGCAGACAGGCAGAGATAGAGACGGATAATTGAGTCAAGCGCGGTAGTGACAGTAAGTAAAGTCCGTGAATCGTTGTGAATTATAGCGTGTGTTTAAGTTAAAGTGGCTGTGGAAATTAAGTGTATTGCAAAGTTGTACTGAGAAAGAATAAACTAGTTTTATTTAAGAAAGGACTTGTATCGCTAAAGTTTAATCGGAAAGAAATTATACGGGAAATTAACAAACGAAAAGAGACGTAACACTACTTAAGCATTAAACAAATATCAGGATATATACAGTGCCTTGTCAAAAGTATTCACTCCCTACCAAAACTGTCATATTTTGATGAAATAAAAATAATGTAAACATTTTTTTAATGAAGTTGTTTTATTCAAAACTCTAATGATCAAACTTAACACTGTTATGTGTGAAGGAGGTTGAACGTCAGCAAAACCTGCAAAGAAAATATATAAATTGAAATTTACTAATTGTATAAGTATTCATCCCCCTATT